CACACACACACATGTTTGAGGACGTTGCATTGGCTAATATTCATTCCCTGGAAGCTTGCGGTAACCTTTAACCATAAGCGATAAAACCCCGACCTCTGACCTCTGCCTCACCCCTGTGAACGCTCAAACCACTTTAGCTTGTGCTGAAGGCAACTGCAGTGCAAAGGACAACACCCCCAGTTAAACACAAACAACCTGTCCCCAGTCAGGTACTTTAACATTTGTGAAATCTGTTTTCTCAGGTTGTAAAATGCTATTGTATTAGCACAGTCTCATGGTTTTACCTGAAATATCATTCTCTTGTTCTGCCGAATCTCTCTGGACCTGCATTCACACACACACACATCATTATTTTTTATTATTATTCATTTTGTGACAATGAATAGACAACCACATGCAAACACTCCTCCACACCTCTCTGGGGCTGAGCTCAAGTCTCTCCTCCTCTCTTTCCGATACTTCGATCATCTCTTGATCCCTCTCTTTCTCAGAATCTGTGGACTCAGGCCCTCTCTCCCCGACCTGCAAGTCCGAGCCGGAGATGGGCGTGATAGTCGCCGCCTGTTGCCATAGAGACAGCACCTCTTCAGGCAAGACTGCAGAGAAAAAAAAATGCTTTGTGGTTTATTTTTGAAAAGGTTACTGTACTTGAGTTGAAACCTTTTAAAAAAAGCAGTAGCTACAGATGAGTCTGAGGAAAAGCAGAATTAAAACTGACACGTGTTAAACTTGACATCAATAAATAATTACAACAATTTGGAGAAATCACATTCAATGAAAATCATAACAGTGAGAAGACACAAGAGAAAAACATAATTTACTGATTCACATTTTTAATGTGGTGTCACTGGTTTTACAGGAACCTCCTGCTGCTGTTATATTAATAAAGTACTTCTGATCCTGATATATGGTCAAAAATGATAGAATCTAGAAAATCTTTAATTTACTGATTTTTTATTGAAGGATGGACATAAATGAATAGTTTATGTTATAAATATAAATTCCCGGAAGTGTTGTTTTGTTATAGCGATACATACTGCATAGTTTAAAATGTACTTATTTTTGCAAGCTGTTATATATAGTGATATGTACCCTGTGCCTTTTTGACTGCGTACTTGTGTACTTATATTTCACTTGAGAACTTTATATGTTGTGTACCTCCTGATATCATTTTATATGTTTTGTTCCATCTGTCTTATGTTGTTTATCCACAACTGATTGTTATTGCTGCCTGACTTTTATATCTTTCTAGACCTTTGAATTTATTATTTATTCACTGTGCATTATTATTCATTTCTTTACTAACGGGTAAAAGCAGTACTGTGTTACTGACAGGTGCAAGGGTTGTTCAGGAGATCAGCAGCAGAGCGAGTCTCGAGAGACGAGGGCGGTGGGAGATGTGGACGTCTGGTCTCAGTCAGAGGGTTGTCGATCTGCTTCTGCAGCGCCTCCTGGGGGATCTGCGTCTCTGGGTCGAAGAAGAGCAGCTGCCTCCTCCTCCTCCTCCCCTTCACCTCTGGAGGGGGCGCTTCCTGAGAACTAGGGGACTGTGGGAGGTAAAAATATTCATTAAACTAACACTTAACAATGTATAATATACACTTTATTACTGGGTTTTTAAATCGTAAATAATCTTGTACTAAAGATTAATACATTTAATTCACTAATTAGAACAAGTTTTGGCAAAGCTAGATATCTTCGAGGACATTCTTTAAAATCTTTTACTATATTGTTTTTTATATTGTATGTTAGATGGGGCAACAAACTGTAAACAATTCATCAGTGATTAATATTATAATAGAGCCCGACTGACAAAATAAGCACATGACATAAGTGATCAATCTTAATATGGATCCCTCACATTAAGCTAATAATAATGAGATGGATCAGCCTGGACAGTTTTTATCTCCAGCTCTGATCTATAACTGGCGGCGGATCAACACCAGCCAAATGGGGTCTTCGTTCCTATTAAAGGATTATTACCAATCAATGATGTATTCATGAATAATTCACTAATCATTGACTAAGTTACTCCCATCTTGTGGAAACATTATTGAAGAAGAAGTGGCACCTGTAAGTCCAGGCTTGGCCTTGCATGTCTCGGTGCAGACGGCGGCGAGGGGAGGATGGGCTCAGACACGGGGGTGAGGTGGCCTGGAGGGGGTTCTGGCCTCTCCTCTGACACGACAGGCTCTTCCTGAGGCAACAGCGTGGCTTCCTCACCGGGGAGAGTGGTGGGCTGTAATCTGACACAGGGGTAGAAATGCAGTCAGTGGATCTGTGTGTGATTACGTTGCTGTTATCTCGTCCGTACGTCTGGATGAATTACTCAGTAGTGGATCCTGTGATCTCCTTTGTTCTGTCTTTGTCCTGCTCTTCACCTCTTCCTCCCCGCTCTATCTCCCTGTCTGGTTCTCTTGGTGTCACCTCCTCTCTCAACATCACAAAATCCCCTGTCAGAAAAGGTTAAAGGAAGATAAAACATAATTATTCAAGGGTCTCTCCTTTATTTCCATTTAAAATCTTCACACACCTTCTGGAAAGTGATCTGCTTGGGCCATGAGGAACCGAACGGTATCTAGATGGTGATCAACAAGCTCCACACCCTCAAACTAGCATTTAGAAAAATAGAGAGAAGATGAATGCAAGTGAAGATCAGTAAAACATTTAAAAAAAAACAAAAAAACATATATATCTTCACATGAGTATCTTTGACAACTGCACCTCTGGAATGGGGATAGTGACAGGCTCCAGCTCCCTGAGAGTGATGGAGTCTGGAGATGCAGTTATGCCTGGGGAATGAAAAGAAAGAATGGATCACATTAATCAAAAGCCACTTTCGACATTTCACAGCTGCACAGCCCACTGACGCCGGCAGGAGAAGATGCAACTAATCAAGTCGCAATTAAAGTGCGCTCTTCAGCCGAGTGAGGTGCAGCTGCTCAACACATCCTGACATCGCAGCATCAGCCTCGGCCAATTAGGAGGATGTTGTTGACGGCAGCCTGCTCTGCCCCGTCCTGACCTACAGCAGCGTCTCTCTGCTCTGTATTTCTGCCACAGTCTCCGAGCTCCATCTGCTCCTGTGACCTGTTGGTATTTCTCTGCATATCACTGCACAGAGCCCCAGATACTGTACAAACATCTCCAGAAATATTTAATATGTGGTTCAATTCAATTAAAGCTGCTAATTACATAAGACAGGACTTAATGAATCCTATAAGATGCTTTGGTTGGTGTTTCAAATAGTTGTAAATCTACTATCAATGTGTGAATTTAATCCATTTTGTACACCCTGTGTTGTCACTGTTTTTGTCAAATTAGTACATTTGTATCCCGTACTTTATCCTAAACTAGTTAAAAATTACTGTAATGTATTAGTTGTGATGTAATAGTTACCTTCATATTGCATCAATCTGCTGAATAATCAATATTTAATGATAAATGAACATCTGAAGAACACAATCAGTACTTATTACTTGTAATTATAATTCACAGTGATCAAATTTTTTTTTTTAATTTTTGGTTTAAACACAAGATATAACAACTGTTTTCGATGGCTGAGTAGGACAATACCCAGGAAGAGTAAATGTATCTTGATGATTCAAGTGGGAATTTTTTTTGATTTTCTGTAGACCATTGAAAAACTGTGACTTATTAATATGGTGAGTAATATATAAGCATACCAACACTTTCAATGGACGGAACAAAAACAACGTGGGAATCACTTTACATAAAATATTCCATGTTATGTTTTTATTTAACATTTGTATATTGTATTTGTTTGTAAGAATAGTAAAACAATATGAACTACTAGTATTTTGAGTGATTATCACTAAAGATATGTATATTTTATAGGCCTAGCTCATATTTCTTGTTTTGCATTCCTTCAGTTTAATACAAAAATGATATGTTGGCCTTACAGCTTATATAATAAACAAATATAAAGAGGAATGGAAGCTAAATAAATAAAAATCATCTGTACTCAAACATGTCTAAGGCGCTGTAATAACCCAGCGTTGAGAGTTGTCTTAGTTATTTTTGCCTCCACAGTACTTTCTTTTTCTTCCTGCTGCAGTGACCCGGTGCCCTGAAGAGATCATTATTTTTATGTCATTACTGCACATCATGTCATCCTACCAGTGTCCTGTGCAGCAGCAGCAGGGGCAGGAGCAGCAGCAGGAGCAGGAGCAGCAGCAGCAGCAGCAGGAGCAGCAGCAGCAGGAGCAGGAGCAGGAGCAGCAGCAGCAGCAGCAGCAGCAGCAGCAGCAGCAGCAGCAGCAGCAGCAGCAGCAGGAGCAGGAGCAGGAGCAGCAGCAGCAGCAGCAGCAGCAGCAGCAGCAGCAGCAGCAGCAGCAGCAGCAGCAGGAGCAGTAGGAGCAGTAGGAGCAGCAGGAGCAGCAGGAGCAGCAGGAGCAGCAGGAGCAGCAGGAGCAGCAGGAGCAGCAGGAGCAGCAGCAGGCAGGCTGCTTCGTTCAGGATGCTCAGGAGAGGATTCTCTCAGATACTCCTCTCCAATCTGAGACATGGGACAGGCACAATAATTTATTCTGAATCATTTTATTAATTTGGAATGATTTATAGATTAGCCTCCACTGACAAATGTTTGCTAAATGTTAATTTCATTATTTTGGTGTTTGATACCTGTATCAGTGCACTAGGACTCGGCATGGCCTCTTGCATGTACATCATTCCAAATAAGGGATCCAGAGCTCCTTCTGCCTCCTCCATCAGAGACAGAGCATCTGGGAGAAGCAGAGCTTGTCTGAGAGACAGCAACAAGGATCTGGAATTAGTTTGTGATTCAAACAGCAGGACAATGTGTAAAATGTTGAGCATCTGCTCTCACCTGTTCTGCTCATCTATATCAATTTTCTTTGACGTCTTCTGTTTCAACAGCTGACCCAAAATGGTATGAAGTTCCTCTACATGGACACCAAGTCAAGAGTCAAGAACCAGCGCACTGAACCACTCTCCACTCCAGTCTGATAATCATTTCTTACCAAGGAGAATAGCACACTGGCGATGGTAGACAACGATGACTCCATACTGCAGCTGGGAGGACAGGTACAGGGAAAAGCGAGGTCGAGGCAGACCTGGTCGAGGTGCTGGGACCCGTTCCAGCAGATAATTCATGATGTCATCGCTGTACAGGGCGTTAGTTCCATAGTAAGTAGAGACTCACAGATCAGCTAATTGTAAAATGTGAAAGTGAAGTAAAATGACTCACCATGTGCTTTTGACGTTCACTTTCAGGAAATCTCTGCGAGGAACTCTGATCCCTTTGGTGGCAACGAGCCTGACGTAAGCACAGGACATGGATATGATGTTGTTTCCTATTTTAGTCATTTGGTTACAAAGATGAAGGCGGATTAAATAAGCTAAACTTCAAACTGTAGTTTCTAGAGTTTGGAGCCGGGCTGAAATACCAGCTGGTCGGTAATATCAGCCAAAATGAGCCTTTCACAGAGGGATCAGAATAAAGGTTTGCTCGTATGAAAAGAATTTAGAAAATATGTTTATTATCTTGATTAAACCTCTATATGTATATATTAATAATAAAGTGTATGGTTAGACTGTAAGTAATATAAGTCTCAGTTATATTTCTTTGTCATAAGGTTTTGATAACGACATTTTGAGAATTTTTTTCATCAATGAATGCAATCATCTGACAGAAACTTCTCTCCTGTATTTATTATGCAGTAACTCATGTAGTGTTTAGGTGAGAGCACTTCAGTGTTTCTGTTGTATCCTGGTGATGATCTCTGAAGAAACTACTTTCTGCACTTCTGAACTTTTTATTCTGAAATACGATCTGAGTGTAAAGAGCAAGAAGTCTTATTTTCATAATGAGTTCATCTCACGGTTACTTCACACCTTCATGACCATGTGGAATTCATCCCTTTTATCATCACACAGCTTTTGACCTTCAGCTCATCTTCAAAGTTGTTTTGTTTTTAATCCGAACTTCAAAGTCTCACATTTCTTGTTCTGGCTTCAGCAGACATGTTTTTCTTCTTTGCCTCTGATGCACCTGCACCCTCCATCAGAGAATCTGGGTTTAACTGTGAATCACTATTACAAATACTGTAATAAAGAGTCACAGAGAAGAAGCAGCATATCAATCTAATCTATAAAGTCTGTAGTAATTTTATTTTAAGGAAAATAATAAGAAAACCTCTTTAGTGTGATTTAGCTCCAGCTGACACATCATGCTACTTTATTAGCATTTACAAGAATTGTGAAGTTTAACCCTTTCTTCTGAAATACATTTTAAAAAGCTGCTGTTCATTCACGTTTCTCCATTAAAAAGCACCTGTAGAAAGTTAGCAGTTAGCGGCTAACGACAAACTTCACTTTAGCTAAAATATGATACGATTTAAAAGAGCATGATTGAAGGTTTGCTCACCAGATTGTAGAGAAACATCCGGTCTGATGTGTTAACACTGCAGGGTAGTAAAACATGTTCACAGCTCAGAGCTGACAGAGCTCGGTGGGTCTCAGGTGTTAGTTCTGATCAGAGCTTTCATCCACAGCGAGTCTGCGGAGCAATGTCTGTCGGTATGTCTCATCTTTGTTTGGGACACGCTGATTGGTCAGAGCCGCCGTGGGAGGCCGGAAATAAAATGTATTCTGAACTAAACAGGAAGATATTTTAATTTGTATTTTATTTTAAATTGCACCACAATGTCTTATTTAACAAAACATAGACAAAATTGAGAATATAAATAATCTATTTATTTCTTGACCCCATTTTTTCCCTTTTGCTAATTTATTTTGTCCTTTTGTTGTTTATTTTCTATATCTTCATTCTCAGTCTGGTTTTATATACAATTTGAAAACTTGTATTGACAACTTGAAATCCGTCTGTGATTTTAAATAAAGTAAAAAAAAAAAAATGTTATGAACAGGTAGTTACGTCTGGTTCAAGAGAATTAAGAGTTACATGCTGTAATTTATATAATCTGAACATTGGGAGTAGAATTAAGGGAAAACAAAATCAAAACAACCTGTGAATATCTCTGTCACTAACTTTGCTGTGTGTCTCTCTCTCTGCAGGGTTCTCTGATGAAAGAGCTGCAGGATCCAGATCTGATACAACTCAAGACAAAACAGCAGAAGCTTTGGTTGACTGAAGAAAACTGCATTTTATTCAGGGGTTAAAGAAACATGTCGTGGGTAAAATGAGAAATATCTGGATTCACATTCATATAAAATAAAAGAGAAAAAAAACATGTATTAAAATTCAGAAATCTGCTTTAAAAAAACAAACAAACACAAAGGTACAGTGTTGAAGAGGATCCTAAAAGGTTTCTACTGATGCAGCAGTGGGAGGGGAGTTCTAATGGTTTTCAGATTAAAGCAACCTTCCTCTGCACTCCGTGGATCCGCAGCAGCAGAGCAGAACTTTACCCTCCACACTGCCAACCTCGTAGTTGTAATCCCAGGTCAGTTCTGTCCCGGCCCGGATTCGTCTACACGGGGGCACAGACAGGCAAGTCAGAACAGGACAAGAGCTTCAGGTAGACAAACAGTGAGACAACAGAGAATTGGGCATCCAAATGGTTGAGGGGTTTAAGATATGTACATCTCACCAGGGACAATCACTGGATGTCAAGTTCTATATCTTTACACTCAAAACCTGGCACAACGTTTACTGCGATACAATGTCATCCAGCACTGCACAAACCTGGCAGAGAATTAAAGAAATTCCCAAACTAAAGCTGACTGAATTGTTGGATGGAAGATAAAAGGGTTGTTGCACACCAACTTTCCGGAGTTGATAAATCTGTCCTGACAGTGATAAAAATAGCAGTGCAATGTTTTGGCATCTGATGATTCTTCTAAATTGTGAATCTATAACTCATATCTACCCTCCTGGATCATTTGTCATCTTTTCACCAAAGCCTGAAATAACACACGCTCACATATGAAGCCTGTAGCATTATTTTCATTTTTGTTTATGGTCTTAAATGCCAGTAAAGATCAGCATCATTCTCATATGACAAATTAAAATTATTATTAAAAACTCACTTGCTGGCAAAGAACGCCACCCACGGGAATCGCAAATCATGTGTGTCCACAAACACATTCTGGACAAAGAGGTTTGGACTACAGCTGTGCTGTAATACAGAGAAGAGACGGCCATGAGTAATATAAATACACAGGACAGAGACTTTATCAAATGGTTCAACTGTGATTGATCCTTACGTTCAGGTATCGGCCGAGGTTTCCCTCCAGCTTGGCGTCAATGATGTAACATGACTCCTCACCATCAAAGAACAGGCGTGTGTTTCTGTGACTGTTGTCCCCGCCTCCTACATTCTGTCCATGCTGCCCTGCTTTTCCTCCCTGACCCCCTGGCCCTCCCCCACCTCCAGGCGCACCTGTTTTCACCATCATTCCATGGCTGGTCTTCAGGGCGATGCCACGGGTGGATTTAACTGCTACCTGCTTCTTAGTTACACCTGAGTCAGAACAGCAGCGACATGAGAAAACATGAAAACAGTCAAAACAGGCATTAATTATTCATCCCTTCTCTTTTGTTTACCTGGAGTAACTTTTTCTCTCTCTTTGTCTTCAGATCCAGAGCTGATGGTCTGAACATCATCGCTGTCTGAGAGAGTCATCACATCCTGCTTCTTCCCTGTGTCTGGCTTCACTTGACTGCAACAAACACAAATTAATCTCTTTGTGAATCATAGCTTTGTTATTGATCAGTGAATTATTGCAGAATTATAATTATTATTGTAAAATAAGAAACTTTTCCAAGACCTCTTGTTGTCTCCAGAGTCCTTTCATGAAAAACAAAAAACAAAAAGTTATTGTTCAATATTCAGTACAATCATACAACATAATCTCCACTTTAACCATCAGTGCCCTTTCAAATATCTAAGATGTTCTGAACAGGATTATATTTTAATTTCTGCATGAGACACTGCAATTACTTTAAAAGCACTGTAACCACAGAGCTCAGTTCCATGAAACATTATTCTTTCTTTATCTTTTTCCTCACCCTCTTCAGCCCCTGGCTCGTCAGCCAGGAAGCTACTTTGCTTTTCCCCGTCTCCTCGGGCATGGACGGTGGCTTCTGCTCATCGGTTCCCTTGACTGACGCACTCAATCCATCTTTACTGTCTTGACTCCCTGGAGTGGGAAGGAGAGAGGTGAGTGTGAGAAGACAAAAGAGATATTTCCATCAATTACACCTTTGACATAGAGAAGAAAAACTGGAGTAAAACTATACTTCATTACAAAGTCGAGTAAGTGAGCTAAAACATGGTTCGGGCTACAAATGTTTTACTTCCGATTTATTCAATTAGTTGGTTTCACTTCCCAAAAACAATGATAAAATGGTGATGAGAGCTCCTTGAAACTTAAATGAGTTAATATTTACGAACTTAATAATAATTTATAGTTGCTCATTTTGTTCCATGCTGTGACAAGAAATAATTTTTGTTGTTTATTTGTCCTGGTCATCATCTTTTCTGCCGGGATGTATTCAGGTGATGGAAAAGGCTCTTACCTGAGTAAACCACCCATTAATATTTATCTAAAGCCCATTTTCCACTGGTCAATACACCAGCGGATTCATGACCAGGAAAAACAAACACAAAGACAAACAACATCTAGCAATGTTTAAAAACTTGTATACCTACTAATTCTGTATTAAAAGATGACTCTATAACTTCTATAACCTCTAAGTTCTTACATAAAAACCTCAAATGTCTTGTCACTGTCTCTGTCAACATTGACTTTTCCGCTCAGAGTAACCACCTCACCTTCCTTGTTGCCCTTGACCTGACCACGTGTTGTGTAACTCCTCCACACAGAGCTGGAGCTGAAGTAGTTGTCCTTCACAAACGTGTCGTCCGAACTGTCACTTTCATCTTCACTCTTTGAGTCTTTCTCATCTTCCTCATTGCTTTCTCCTGATGAGCTCGGGCTTTGGGCTGCGACAGAAAAAACAAACACCAGGTGAAATATCATGTTTAGAAAAAGAAAATCAGCTGGTGTCAAGACAACAAATAACACTGAGAATCAGCCTGGGTCGACTGAAGATCGCCTTGATCCCTCACCTGAGGATTTGGACTCACCCTTCCCGGGCCCCACAGCATTGGATGATGCTAAAGCAGATGGCTGGATTTTTATCCTGGAAACGTCCACACCGCTTCCCTCGCTGTCTGAACAATGAGCCTCGCTCTCATAGCCCTCCTTAAAGTTTTCCACACTCTCTATATGATCCAGATTGGCAAAATACTCATCGCCCATTTCAAGACCCTCTTTGTCTGCAAAGTCGTCTGTCAGGATTTTACCTGATGAAGTGGAAGAGAAGAGGGCAGAGGGGAATACGTTACTTTGCATTCAAGTGACCTGCCCGATACAAAACCGTTAGTTTAAGTTAGTTTCCTCACCAGCATAGATGCAGACAAAAGAACCCTTGGCCACATCGTCCAGACAGCGGATGCCCCAGCCTTTGTTCTGGGTCTTAAAGAGCTGGAGACGCACCTGCAGGCCGTGCTGTACAAGTCGGTTAGTGCACATCGAAGCACAACATTTGCACCGCTTATTACACTCGTAGATCCTAAAGAGAGAAGAAGAGATAACGGCCTCAGATACAAGACAACCAAATGAGCTGTTAGATACAACAGTAATTATCTTGTTAAGAGGTTATGAGGGGTGACAGTGAGTGTAGAGCACACTACAAGTGAGAGGTGTGTTCAGTATGTGTGTATAAATGTCTGACCCTGTGGGCAGGCACTCCTCTAATCGTTTGTACGAAAATCCAGCATTTGTGTTGATCTGTCCGCCTGGTGTACAACCTGTAGCCTGAAGGGTCAGCTGGTGGCAAGAGCATTTGGATCTGTATTTAAGATACAAAGACACGACTTCAGAATATAACCAAAGGAAGAAATCTGAAAAATGATGAGGTGTGGATAAGCAGCTTCGCTGACTTGTCTCGACAGCCGTCGGTGCATTCACACCCAACCAGGAAGTCTGCACTGGTGTTGATAAATACTCCATCTTCAGGAATACGTTCTTTACCTTAAAGAGAGAAGACAGGAGAATGATAAGCCACTCAGGGCTAATTTACTCCACTGTTTTTGAAAAGAGAAACAGGCCGTTGGCATATTCATGGGGAAGTAATCATTTGTGATTAAGTTTTCCTTTTTTGTATTATTTATTCTTTATTATTTATTGGAGCAAAGGTGAAAAGAGAAAAATACATCCTGGCACAAGCACAAAGGAAATTCTCCTTTTTCATTACTTACTGTAGTCTACTTTAGGAGGCGGAGTGGAATCAATTTCATTGACGCAGGACAGTGGAATGTCCTCCCTTCCACCTGTGATGTCTGGAATATAATAGAATGGCCTCTGTGGCTGGAAGGGACGGTCCACGAGTACGTAGGGGTCTAGACAGAACATCTCTAAGAATATAAAGTCACAGCGTGTCTGGAAGAGGTAATGTTGGATCTCTGCCATGTTACGCAGACAAAGCCCACACGGTGCCTTGTAGATCACATGGAAGGACATCTGATGAAGCAAAGGCAAACATTGTCATTTCGTTTCAGGTTCCAATGTATATGTGTGTATATAACACACATATTTTCCACAGTTGTCTTGATGTTAATGTTTACCTTGCGGTTGACTTTGCGTCGTCCTGTCATGCGTCTGAAATCATACAATAAAGGTGTGAGGAGGGGGTTCTTTCCACTGTGCAGGTCTGGTTTCGTTGGTCGGACACGATTGAGACAGGCAGGCTGACACGTGTGAGCCATGTAGAAGATGCGGTCCGTCGGGGCACGATACGAGGGCTGCTGTGGGATAGTGGCCACCGCATGAATCATAGGAGGGGAGACGGGAGTGACAGATAGCACTTGTCTCTGAAACGCTTGTGCGAACGTGGGCGTAGGAGTATTTGGAGCAATCAGTGTTCTTCCACTATGGATCAACAAAGGATGAAAAGAGAAAGACCAGAACAATTTAAAAACATCTAAGCAGAGATCACGCTCTTTGGCTTTTTTCTGTATCATTAGCAGCATTTTGTTGGGTCATACAAATAAGGTGAACTCACGCAGGCGGGATGCTGAGATTCTGGGAAAGCGACTGCATGACTTTGGAGGCATGTGTGCCTCCGACACCAGGGACAAACGGGGAAGTGCTCTTCTTTGCCATCTGATGTTTATTGCTGAAAGAGAGAGAAACAGACACTCAGTCAATATCATAGGTCTCCACTTACTTTCTCTCAAACCAGAGGTTTACAGCTGCACATGTGTATAATTCCATCTAGAGAGTATTAAAGTAATGCGTAGTAAGAAAGTTGATGTTTCCGTATGCCCATTGACGCTCATCACTTGACGGCTCACTTCCGGTATCTTTGCATAAACACATGCTTTTTAATTTCATGGTTTTTTATTTCTGTCTGTGGAGCTACAAAAAACAAAATGAATATTGTTATTTAATTCATCAAAACATGACTCCAAATGAATCTTAATAATTTTGCAACAACTTTATATGTCAATGATGTTTTTGGGCAAAAGCATCAGTTAATGAAGGTTTATGTGGGTGTTAAATGACAACTCATTAAGTAGGATTAAATTATTCTTCAACATAGTGGGCAGCAAGGTTGCAATATCTGAAATGAATGAATACATTTATAACTATTCTTGCAAGTTCATCTGTCTTTGCTTTAAATATTCTTTAAAACCAATGATGACGTTTGAACAGGACCATGAGTAACACTGGTCTCACTCTGAGAAGGCCACCTAATTTGCATACAAGCCATTATTCCATTAAAAGGTTAATTCTTCCATAGCTTCTGCTTTTATACACCTTTAAACCAAGGGACATCAGTAATGTCAGATGTCCAGGCTGCATCACTTACTCGAGGCGTGGAGACTGAGCAGGATGTGGGGACTGAAGGGTTGGTTGGATTGGTTGAGTTGGTTGGGTTTGTTGGGTTGTTTGGGTTATTTGGATTGGTTGCGTTTGTTGGATTGATTGCGTTTGTTGGGTTGGTTGGATTGGCTGGGGCTGTGGCAGTTGTGGACGCTGTTGAAGTTGCGGTGTCAGCGAGGGCGGACTCAGTGTGGCCTGTGGGGCTTTGACGGGAGAGGCTCCAACATGTCCGTCACTGGTGTATTGAACTACTGGGCCTTTGCTCCTCAACGCTCCTAGAAATAGAGGACGTTTAATTAAGTACAAAAGTTTAGTTTTCATATTTTTCTTAATTTGCATAACAGTACAATAGTACAGCTTGTGTTTGTTACCCATGTTGGGTCGTGTCCTCTGCTGGCCTGCCAGCTTCTTCTCCTGAGTGTTGGCTGTGGTCATCTTCAGGTTGAACATTGGCTCCAACCTGGTGGACCCTCTATAGATCCACTCACTTCTCTTATCATCCTGATCAAACAACATAAGTGAATCTATCAATTGATGCAACCAGAAATCAGATATCATCCAGTAAATCCAGTCCATTCATTTGGATGAATCTTTTCACAGGTCAGTGTTGTCCATTCACCTAATTTCCATATATTCTAATGCAGACTTACCAAGAAGAGGATCTTGACCAAGCTGCCATCAACGTCCTCCACTTTACTCTTCCACCAGGTTCCCTCCCACTCCGTCTTGATGATCTGGTTGACTTTTAACAGCACCATCGGCCTGCTGGGATAAGCTGTGATGTACTCCTCGATGAAGTCTCGACACGATGCATCCTCTATGTCTTCCCAAGTACGCTTTACTGTCGAAACAAGAAGGATCTCGTTCTTCTATTGATCAATTTAATATGTATTTTTTTATATAAATATTATTATATAAAGAGTTAACACAACATTTTGCTAACAACCTTTGTAAGTGAACATGTGTAGAATTGATTGGGCTTCACAGATTAAAAGAAGGGTGGAGAAAAGCAGTGAGCACTCACATGGTCGACAGACAGGGTAGAGATCGGGTAGATTCACATACGAAGCATAGCCATCATCAAAAAATATCAAAAACCTAAAACATATACAAAAAAGAAATCAACTAGAGTCTGATCAATACTGTTTGCTGGAATTCCATAGTTTGACCTCTAGTGAGCAGGTACCGGTCTGTTTTTAAGAACACAATTCTTTAAGAACAAAATTGTAAATCTAAATGTTTATGCTGTGCATTGTTTAGACAATTATTGTTGATATATCAGATGTTTTCTATTATCATATATAAGAAAATATACCACTCACCTCCTTTGGTTCTTATTGTTGGGCATCTCTGCTACGATTCCAGCATAAAGCCACACTAGGTTGCCGTCCTTATACTTGGCGACTACACGGGCTCCGACATACAAACTCTCCAGTGTAGGGTTATATTCGAAAGCCACATGATTTCCAGACAGCAGACTCTTTCCTTTATCAAACTTGACTTTATACTTAAATATACCGTTTCCTGAATTTAGACAGAGGAGAAGATTCAATGACAGAGCAGAACAGGAGAATATGAGCACAAACAAGTTGACTTGAGTTGATAAAAATACAAATAATCTAGCTGAATATTGACAATATCAAAGTCCTAAAGAACCTAAAGGTAGAGGTTAATGATCTGGGAACACACCGACAGGGTTGATAGCGACGAGGGCACCTTTGTGCCACGTCTTGGTGCGTTTCTTTCCCAGAATGTTCATCCCGACTCGAAGCTCATCCTCTGTCACGTTTGGGTTGGGCTGGGTTATGGACTGAGATGGAACCTGTGATACAAACACTGCTGGCACTGCACTCTGAATACCTGCAGGGTAGACAAAGCACACACACATTTACTACTAAATACCTAATACTTCCAAGCAGTTATGATGCATCTAATGATCCTACGTGTGTGTGTGTTTGTGTGTGTGTGTGTGTGTGTGTGTGTGTGTGTGTGTGTGTGTGTGTGTGTGTGTGTGTGTGTGTGTGTGTGTGTACTTACCTGACTGGGATGGAAGCTGTCCTGGGGGTCGCACCATAGAAACACTTGACAAAGGCTTGTTTACCGTATGGAACAACTTCTGCACCTGCTGAGAGGTTTTCTGTAGAGCTGCAGACACCTCTTTTAACTGGCAAAATAAATAAACACAACATACATCATCATCATCTGCATACAGTGAGCAGTGTTTGACCTTTATACAAGTGTGATGGAAACGCCATATCCATGGTTTCCCTTGTTAGCATTTCAGCAAGTTAAACAAAGCCTGGACCAACGACAGCTGTTAGCAAATTTAGTTTTTTGGTTAAGTGTTGATGACTGAATCAGATAGTGGATTTGTCAACATGTATAATATCTTATATGCTACTATCTGAATTTTGCAAAAGAAAAATTCAGGAAAAAATGTGTCATTGCTGCACATTCACCAAATACTTATATTAATGCATGCTCCTTTACTTTATTTAGTTTTTTAAAGGATGCAGATACTACAAAATGTATGTATACTATATCTACGTTTATTTGAATTTGTATTTAGGAATTTTAGGTGCAAAATATTCCCATTGGGGAACAATTTTAACTTGTATTTCCTTGTGTCACAATAACTCACACATAAAAAATTAACATTTAGAAATGAAGTGTACAAATAGATCAATATAATGAAGTTTTTGTATTGTTCTCACCGCCTGATCTTTGCCAGGAGTCCCAGGTTTCTTTGGTGGAACCACTGAAACATTGAGGAACACAAGAAAAATAAATACATAGAAGCGGTGAATGATAAATGTTCTCCTACAAAAACATAATGCATGACTTACAGCAGCCAACAGCAATGACATCATCATCATCGTCATCATCTATTTCAATGACCTCCGAGGACAACACCCCTCCTCCACTACCCTCATCGTCTGAGCTGCTCTCCCGATAAACAAGACCACTCTTTTGGTAGGTCGCCTTCACCAGCTTCTCACACTCCAATAAGGACCTGAGGAAGAGTGGGGGAGGAAAACGTCAGCCAGTAACATTTACTGTACAACAAGGAACGCAGCATCTGGTCCAGTGGATCTGCATTGGCACTTAAATTGACCCTTTAATTAAGCTTTTAGTGCCAAAAAACACTGGTCTCATGATACCTTCTAAAAAAAAATGTCTGCAGTCAGTTTCATGTCATGAGGTTGACAGTTTTTAAATTTGGGGAAAATGAGATTGCTCCTCTTTGTTTGGTTGTCAATAACTTGGCCAAGTAATTATCAGTCAGTGGACTAATCGATTAATCAAGTAATTTTTGCAGCACTAATCGTGTTTTCCACTTGAGGGGTGACAACTTATGGATGTTTTGTAATGTGTGTCTAATGTGTCAGCTTGTTGTGGTGCGTTTGAAGCCAACATGCATGATGCATATTAGCCAATGGCTGATTTGCTCCTTCACTCAATGCTGCCTGATACATTTTTCACGTTTTGTTTGGGCTCATTCAATTTCTCTATTTGTCCAATGATCTTCTCCTGAAGCACAGTCAAAGCACCTGCAATGTCAATATGTGTTGAGAAATCACGCTGTTTGTTTCATAGCGTTTCCAGGAGTGTTTTTATGTAACAGACACTTTTTTGCCTCATGCTACTTCAATAAAGTGAAATACATATATTTACAAAAAATAACACACGTGGTTACTTCGCTAGAGACAAGAAACTTAAAATTCCCACTTACATAAACATATGAAATAAACAGGTAAATTCCTACTCACTTGTTGGTGTCTTTGAGAAGTACCTCCGTTATTGCCTCCTCCTTCTCTTTTTGCTCCACCCATTTTTTCAGCTCTGTCAGCTGAGCCTTTTTCTTCTGCACGATCTCGCTCTTCTCCACAGCCTCTTCAATCCACTTCTTCAGCTCGTCCAGAGAAACGCCAAGTTCTTCCTCCAGACTGGGGTCCCAACCCTCCACCTCCATCCTGAGGACAAACAGACAGGAGCAGGAGACGTAAACATCATTTTAAATCTTAAAAGGATTTGATATTGTTGTTATCAGATCTGATCATTATTAAAAGTCAAACATTTTAAGCGTTTGCTGGTTAAAGATTTTTAAATGAGAGTATAAACTTGTTTTTTTTTTTTTCTTCTCTTCAGGGTGTCATACATGAAACATATTTGGAAACAGGGTGTAAGCCACATATGTAGATACTGTAAGTGCAAACATATATATAAAAATATGACATTGAGCCTATTGAAAAAATCTTATATTCAGTATTTGACTAATCACCCAATGATTTAATTTGAAGACATTTGTGAGATTATATTATTTCACCACCTTATGGCTTTCAAAATCATCAGAACACAAAAATCCTAACAAGGTATATCAGACAAATGTCCTTTTCATACACATTCAAAGACACTGAAACCAACTTCAAACTAAATCCACAAATGTCCTCTGCAGCAGCAGCAGCTCTGGGTCACTGCGATGAAAGCATCAGTGAGAACTGGTGAAATGATGCAGTGGTTGAAGCTGGTCTGCAGAAACCTGCACCAGGACAGAGCTGACAAATGTGCACAAACAACGACAGCGTCCTCTGTTTGCATCTGACTGAAACACGCCAAGCACATGCACGTAATAACACTATCTACTTCAGGTATAATCCATTAGCCTGAATATAGCCTGCAATTTAACTGCCATGCATGAGTATGAAATATGTGTTAGCATGCTACTTAGCACAACAAAGAACAACTTGGCAGCCAAAATGTGCCTCGTTAAGTTACCTTGGTAACTACACGGCTAAGGCTAACAGGATAACTACAGACATAACCCCCCACGGCATCACTGACACGTCACTGAGACGCATCCAGGTCAACAGGAGCTAAAACAAAGTGGCACAAGTCAGAAATGGTTAGCATGTTAGCCTAGCATTAGCATGGGGAATGTATCATCCCTTGACTAACTGATGCAGTTTATCCGGAAAACAAACAGCTCCGGGGGATTCTCCGGAGTTTCTCTCGAACACACACCACACAGCTGCAGCTTCATCCAGCGGCGGCACTCGAAACTCACCTCTCGCTGCTTTCCATCGCGACTGCTCGCAAATATATCGAGATAGCAAAGGCTACCGGCTAGCTACAAGCTGCACGCATATGCTATGCTTCACGGGGGTATTCGAGGTGGGCGGTGTTTCGTGGCGCTCCTAGGTTCCGTGAAGGACCTACACGCTCCACCCAGCGGGGCTGCGCAGGTTTGTAAAACTAACACCCGCTCCTCTGAACACGCTCTGTTCAGAGGAGCCTGGAGTTTCTCATCACTTCACAAACACTGACAGAGGAAATTAACTCATTCACACACGTGTTTTCAACTAATGTTATAGTCATACAATCATATTATTTTATATAAAATATATAATATAATATGATATATTATAAACTGATTTAGCACATATTAAGCTCAATGAAGTTTTTTTAGTATAATCTGAGCATAAACTAATATTTTTAATTCTTTATAATTGAATTATAACAACAATAATGATACTAATACTAATACTCATAATACTAATTCTACTGTTAGTCATGACCTCTTGTAACTTAAAGATTCAGTATCCTTGTCTTTGTAAAACTATGATAATTGTCATGCTCATTTAATTACAAACCACACACGTCTCACTTCTTCTTTTGATACTGTTGTTTACTTACGTCATTTGAAGATACTGTAGGCAGCTTTTCTGTACAAAATGACAATTGAGTAGAAGCTATAGAAAGTTAGAAATCTCTCCACCAGGCTGAATCAGTCACAAGAAAAAACTTAAATATTCAGGGGCACGTAACAATTCAATCATCTCTGCTGTGAGAGTAGATGCATAGATCCTATAAGAAGATGGTCCTTGGTCCCGTCAGTCGTCCATCTGCTCCTCCTGATATGTATTGACAGAGACAGCGCTGTAAGGATCCAGCACCATCTGAGCGCAGCGGACAATGGTCACCACCAAGAAGAAACAGAGGAGGAAGAAGAAGAAGAGGACAAAGCCAAGGTCCACGTCCAAATCCAGTTTGTTCGTGGGGAAGATCGGTGGGTCCATGGTGACTGATCCCAAAAAGTCAAGCAGAGATTTTTGTCTTCTTCACAGTTGTTGTCTCAGTTTATACTTTCACCAAAGTAGTTCTCAAAAACACATTTATACACTATTTCTTCATTTGTATGAACTTCTTCAGTGGTTCTGTTGCCAATCTGTTATGCTGCTGAAGTTTCTTCAATCCCAAACTAAACTTAATGAGCCAGTCCTCTGTTTAGTTTTTAATCTCGTCTTCCAGCATTGACACCTTCTGTCCTCCTCCAGTAGATGAGGTGGAGTGGTGGACACACAGATCCCCATTTGGCACCTGTGTCCTGCATGAATAGTTAACAAGTTTGGTAACGATCAGGCTGTTCCTCCGATGAGAACACCGAGGCATCTCTGTGGTCACTTCAGGAGATGAGACCTCTACAGGAGATGACACCTGAACAAGAGTCACTGGATCCCTGGTCAGTACAAGGTTCACAGGCACACGACAACACAGAAAGATGCAGAAAGTTTTTACAGCTTTGAATGATGCAAATGTGGCACGCAGATTGAGATTCTCTGTCTATACTGAAATCAGTTCACTGTACAAATACAGCACATAATCAGGCACATGTGCACAAGATTTCAAATGTTTATGATCAAATAATTGTGGAGATTTTAGAGGGCAGAATGGTGAAGATGCAAAAGAGGAAAAAGAAAAGGCTGTAGAAGAGAAAGAGGATATGATGCCTTTGTGGCAATCCACTTGAGAGGGGTTGAAAACTGATCCTGACCAAAAAGATGCAGATTGCTTGTATTCTGATGCCACGACAGACACACACAAGTTAAGAGTGAAGAGACTCTATGCAAATAGCAGTGGATCTGGTCTCAAAGTTGGAAGAGGAGCTTGACTGTTTTGTGTAAAAGTAAGATTTACAGCACGAGACGTCACTCAGGTCCAACCCAAACAGGGCAGAGTTGACATAGTAAACCTGAGTTAAACTAGTCCGAGCACTAACTCCATCCGTTTTCACCCTCAGGCTGTGAAAGAGAGGAGGGAAGGACGAAGGCTGAAACTGATCCGGACAGTTACCCACGGATCTCTCTTCTGTGCGTCTTCAGCGACATGCAGAAAGGGAACAGATACAGGCCAATCACAGCAAAGCTGGCTTTTGTTTCCTCACCAGTTAACATAAAACTCTTTCAAGGAAGTGAACACATGCAGGGATGTAACTGAAAACATCCATGACTCTTGCATGAATGTGATAAGTGAACAGACTGAATATTTAAACATTGTGATTAAGGATTAAATGCACAACTAAACTGGAAAAAATGAACTAGAATAATCGCACTGCGGTTGTGTGCCTCCGTCAACCAGTGCAGTGTTCATGTGCATTTTCTACATACTATTTTCCCCCCAGATTGATATAAGGTCACTGTGGCCTTTGACCTTTAACCACTGACGTGTAATAACTTTATCTGAAAGCTGAGTCCAAGTGATAAGTGAAGAAAGTTGAAGAAACTCCTCGGCCTTGAGATCACAGTGGAACATCGGGTTTTGTGAGGACATCATGGCCTTGACCTTTGACCATCAGTTAATCAGTGAGTCCTAGTGGATTGCACAGGATTTAATAAAATTCCTGTCCAGATATTTCATATTCACAGTAACATGAGGTCACTGTGACCATGACCGTTGTCAAATACAACATAATAAATAGAACCTGAATGAGAAAATATATTTTATATGTAAATACAAAGCCACATTTTTCTGTATTTTATGGAAAATAAGTTTTTATATTGCAGCATTTCAGTTAAAATAAACACTGATATCTATATATACTATAACTGTGAGAGGTTTTATAAGACAATTGAAAAATCTGTCAAGTTGTAGTATTTTTTGTGTGTTTATTTCTTTTTCTTATTTAACTGTGAAACTCACGTCCAATGGCAGTAAAAGGAACTCTACTCTATTCTATGAGCTGATTAAACTCTGCTAAGACGTGTGCAGTTCAAATTAGAATCCAGCTCCATTTCTGACAATATAGCAATTTAATACAAAAAACAAACATTCTCTCATTTAACATTTCATATACAGTATATTTATATATTTGTGTTTAATGAGTGATAAAAGTTCACATCATTGAAAAAAAGAAACCTGGATACAGAGCAACCAAAAAGGTTTTTCAACAACAACAKAGACGACACAGTCACCAACGTATTTCTGAAGATAAAAACTGGACAATAATGAACATGGGTTTACATAGTTACATAATTTGTCATTAAGTGTGCAAGTGTTACACACAAACTAAACTGTAATATAAAGGGTCCAATTTAAACTAATACAAATTAAAAACTTAAATATTTTTCAATACGTCATCTTTCATCACACAACATTCTTCTAAAATACAAACTTACCAAAATTTGATTGTATAACACAGATGGGCGGATCTCGTTGGCAAAGATTCAGTCCTCGTCCAAATGTTAGTCACAAACATGAGGAGAAAACACTGAACACTTTTTGGACATTCTCACTATTAGATCTTCTCCGTTTATTCCATATCAATCCTGGATACCCTGATCAAACCTTTAACTAGATACCAATCAGAAGATGGTAATGGACAACTCAAGTTTTCATTCAAAGTTTTGAAATAATAAAATACTACGGGAATTTTTCAAGGAAATCAAAACATGCCGGCCACATCTCTCCAATTCAAAATAACACCAATGAAAACATTTATAACAACAATAGAGAATGGCTTTAAAAGTACATCATTCCTGCTTGTTAATTATTATTGCTGAGTGATTTCTTTTTTTTTTTTCATTTGTTTTACAAAAGGAGTACAAAAATCCCATACTTGGTACAGGTTAATGCAGGATGACAGAAAGACAGAAGTCAAGCAATTCAGAAAACCCTATGACTGTATTAAAACTTGATAATGATACTGTACGCATCCATTAAACATACACACACACATGCATAGTGTATATATATATATAAATGTAGGCAAAGAAAAATAGATTGTATACATTTCCAACGGGCACCGAGACCAACAGTATATAGCCATTGTAACACCTTGTGTCTGTGTTATTAAAGTACATCATTCCATAAAGGAAAAAAAAAAAAAAAACTTAAATGTTCCTTAAGAGGAAAAATGAAACAATTACAATTTATAGGTGAAGCCACCAATGTACATAGAAAACTGTACTCTGTATAAACCTACACATTGTAGAAGCGCTCCATGAAAGCAGTGCTGACATGCAGAGACATGCTGTGAATTTCAAACTGCGAGTGACGTTAGCACAGACAGTGGTGGTTCGCGTGTGACAGCTGAGAGGTTTTTGTTTTAAATCACCAAAGCTGTATATCCCTGCAATTTCCTGAGAGTTTAAATCAACGATTGGGGTGATTTGTCTACGGGCTAAAGGGTAGAACAGCAAAATACACTCTTCATCAACGCCTGAGAAAACCAGGAATATATTAGAATTCAAGGCCTTTTCTTTGTGTTTACCAGATTGTGAGAGTGTGTTATTGTGCAGTCTACTAAAATGCATTTGTGTGATTGTGCGCTTTTATATATGTATTTATATATATATCTACAATATAGGTTGTTGAGCTTTGGGCAGTGCTAGCTAGAGATTTCTCTTTAGAATGGCTGTCTTATTGTTAAAATAATAATCTTTTCATCAGTAGCAAATCCTTGATTGTCTTCTCCCATAAATCTACAGTCAGGTAAATCCTCCCATATTCGACTGGCCCGTGGCAGTGCAGTTTAAGCCATGCAAAGCAAGGGAAGAGTGCTACTCTCAGGAGCAGGAAGACAACAGGTACAGAAGAGCGCAATATAAGAGAGTGTAAGGGCAAGAACTGTTAGAAGGACAAAGGTGTGGACTGGCGGAAAAGTATTGACCAGGTCACTCATTAAACGAAGGGTAGATTGGAATCTCAAAGTCATCGCTGTTGAAGTTGGCAGGCTGGTCCAGCATGGACAACACATCCTGGATCAGATAAAAAAGACAAGACCAAGATTTATTTTAAGTGATAAAACAAAGAGAGTAGAGCCGGATTGATTTTGCGTTACTCACAGGAAACATGTCTTGCTGGTTGCCCTGAGCATGAGGATGCTGCTCTGCGTTACTCTGCGTATGTTGCTGGCCTTGCCACTGTGGCCACACTGCCTCCGCTGCTCTAGAAGGAAACTGTGCCCCTGACTGTGAGCCATCTGAAACAGAGAGCAGAAGGGTCAGAGGATGTACCTGTATAAACACACA